TCAAATATGGATAGCAGAAAACCTGTATGCGCTATCTTTACGGATCTAACAAAAGCCTTTGATTATGTAGATTATTCCGTACTCTTATACAAACTAGAAAGATATGGTATCAGAGGTAATGTATTAGAACTCTTTCGGTCTTACTTGACGAATAGAAGACAATTTGTAGAAATCACACAAATATGTTCAAAAACTTGTTGCGAGAATAAATATAAATCCGAAAGCGAGATAATTAAATACGGCGTTCCTCAGGGTAGCGTGCTGGGACCCCTTCTTTTTTTGGTTTATATTAATGACCTTCCGGAACAAATAAATCACCCTATGGTGCTTTTTGCCGATGATAGTACCGTAGTCATTGAGTGTGACAATCCCAATACTTATGGAAATGAAATAAATATGACATTGAATAAAATGATATCATGGTTTGATAAAAATAATCTAAAAATAAACTTAGAAAAGACTAAAATTATGCATTTTTATCAAAGGATCCCAAACAATAATCTAAATATTAACTATTTGGGGACAACAATTGAACCGGTAACAACTATTAAATTTCTTGGTATTAATATTGACAACAATTTGACTTGGCGATCCCAGACAGACGAAGTATGTAAAAAATTAAACAAATTTACTTATGTTCTCTATAAACTATCAAAAATTGTAAACTTAGAATCCGTCCTGGCAGCCTATCACGGGTATGTTGTATCAGTACTCAGATATGGCGTAATATATTGGGGTAATTCAGTAGATAGGGAATCCGTATTTAGAGCACAAAAACGATGTGTCAGAGCGATGTGTGGCCTTAACATCAAGGAAAGCTGTCAACCGTTTTTTATTCGCCTAAAAATTCTTACCTTGCCATCGTTATACATATACGAAACTAATGTGTTTGTCAAAACTAATCTCTCACTATATAAAATAGCCACTAAAAGCTACTACAGAAAATTACGCGACAAAAATAAGTCAGAACTTGAAGTAACTCATGGAAAAACTGCGTTAATGAATAAGAGTATCCTCAGTATGGCCCAAAAAATATTTAACAAACTACCTGAGACAATAAAGACGTTAAACTTAGACAATTTCAAAAAAGAACTATTGAAAATTTTGATAAATAAGTGCTATTACTCAGTAAAGGCTTATTTGGACGACAATTCTATAATTACTGCCTCAGACAATAGCGCACAACCCCATTTGTTTTGATTTTTTGAATTTTGTTTGACATTGGCCTATATGACATGTAACTTTTTTTTTGACATTTTATTTAATTAATTCTATTTTATTTGTGATGATATGTAGGTATATGCGAATTAATATCTGTTAATGTTATATTTAACGCTAAAGAATATGACACGAAAATTAATCTCTCTAGACAATTTGTTAAATCTTGTTAATTTTGGCATTACTTAAGACTTATGACTTATTTGATGATCCTAATTTTATTTATGCATTAGTATTGTATGACACTTCATCGGTTTCAATTTAATTTGCAATTACAAGTGTCAATTAATTTTTGAATGATGACAATGTTAAATAATTTTAATTATATGCAATATTTGTACGCCTCTGGGCAAAACATGGAGAATCTTCCTACCTGTAACACCTCACATACCTATGTTTACAAATAAAAATATTCTGATTCTGATTCTGATTCTGATTCTGATTCTGAAAATGTGTGGAGACTGTTTGTATTAAATTGACTGTGTATTTACGACGCTAGTTTTGTTGTGCATCAATTTTGAAAGATCTAATACGTTTTCACCATTTTATATATTAATCAATAGTAGTCTGTATGCACTATACGAAGCATCAAGGAATAAAATGAGACATTCTTACAAAACTGTACCACAACTCCTAAATCAATTTATATCCAACCAGTCTCCATTACTTAATGTAGAAATATAAATTAATTGTATTTTTTAAACTTATATTCTTGTCAAAACTTGTAATCGGAGGTGCTTTTTATGTGAAGTATAGTTGATGGAAATGACATGGTGCGTTATTTTTATGTTTTTTTTTTGTTTGTACGCGTAGACTACGTAGTACATTTTGTATATGTAGGCAAATTCAGGCAGTGATAATTTAATTTTATTTCTATAAATATTAAATAGTATTCGGTGTAATAATTAAAATTAAATGTAGGGATTAGTGTGTGTATCTAGTATAAAACTTACGCTATAAGACACTTTATTTATATACAACGATTATAACGTTAACGCACACTTCAATTGATGTATTTGTATATAATTTTGTTTTGTTTTTGCCTTTAAATGGCGCGAATCGGTACTACTAATTTATTTTCTGCGAAAATGTGTATTAATTCTAAGATATCAGGATTTATCTATCCTATCCTGAAGAGCAATACTATTGTTAATAACAAAGTTAAGATGAGTTACTCGTTAATTAATTTTTTTGGAAATTCTTAAAAAAAATCTTTCTTCGAATTTGTAAAAATGATAAAATGGCACTATCTAAAAGAACCTATTCGAAAAAGTTAAGACCAATTAAATTATACACATACTTTTTTTTTGTTAATAGGTATACCAGTGTTAAGGGTACCTATAGTGTAATTTGTTTGGTTTTTAATTCACAGTAAACCCAATAATTATATCTTTGATGTACTTCCTTACATTTTTAAAATAACATGAGGATAAACTACATTTAGCAGTCCTTTGTAACAATTGGCTGCCGCACAAAATATGAAAATAATTAAACTTAAAAGAAATTGTTAATAATTAAAAATTAATAACGTCTTATATCGATGTTTTAGTGTACCTAGTACGCGAATTATAATATTTTATTCACACTCTAATAAGGGTTATAACAAATGTCTAAATACTTAGAGAAATTGTCACTGCTTGAATTATTCAGAGCTATTATATGTTGTTGGCATTTTATTTAAACTATTATTCCAATTTGTAAAACTGAGCTAAAGTAATCGCATGATGGTAGAGGAAAAAAGTTTTATCGTCCGATAAAAATATATGTTGTGTTTTATTGTATATTATCAATAAAATGTGATACCGACTGTGTGATCGTTTTTATCTTAGCTAACTCCTGTCCTTAGTTGGAACCTCACCTACATTGTACCTCAACAGCGCGTTGCATAGCAAACACTATCCTGACGTTTTTCGCGCTAAATATTTAAACTGCACTGGTACAACATTTAATTATGATAGAGTTGACTGCCCTGAACTCTTTGAAAAGCTGTCCCTCAATGTTTCCTCGAAATCCTTTAGGAAGCACGCACCTCTTTATACTCCGGTAGCAAACAGTAAATACAGACAAAACTCATTTTTGTGTCGAGCTTGTCGAACTTTTAACGACTTCTGAAGCAGACATGATGTACCTGGATATATTTTGTACAAGCCTGAGGAAAGCTAGAACCATGATAAGTGAAGACTTTTAATAGCTAATGTTTGTTTTTTTTAATATGTATTCACCTATCTTTTCTTTAAATAATTGCCTTGCTGTGTGCCTACTGTTTTTGATATATTTATAATTTTAATTTTGTCTTAGCTGTTACCTATTAAGTCAATATTCGTGTGAATCTGTAAGTGACTCAATTTTACTATTTTTTCTGCTAAATCTGTGTAATGTACTAGCTGTTGATTCACCATTTAATAAATAAATTATTATTTGACGACCGCTTACCAACAAGTGATCCGTCTGCTCGTCTGCCCCTTATTCCATAAAAAAAGCTATTTTATAAGCACTAATTACAATAGCTTTAGGAAAGAAAAAATATTGTGTATACCTACCTACGTGGGCTGTAATTTGTAGTAACCTATTACTCTCAAGTGACACCTAAATAGCAACAGTTTTGATAATAGACTTCAAAATAAGGAGAGGTGCTGCATACCCTGACTAAAGTGTTATGTTACATTCAGGACGCTACCATCAAGAATGTCCGCGTCCGCTGAAACTACGATCTCGATAATTCCTCCTATTTCGTACCTATTCATAATTCACTTCCAATACCGATATTCATATTATTCACTTATATTTTATGCATGCGCGCATTGAAGCAGAGACATGACGTCTATACTCTATAGCGCTGCGCCCGCCGTTGTAATGTAAACAGTTGACCCTTTAGATAAACTGTTGTACACTCAAATCCTTTGTATCGAAAGATAAAGCTTTTCAAATCTATGTATGTACATGGATAAGGATGTGCATACATAATGCAATGTGCATTCAATGTTCAGTGATATTTTCTGTGGTTTTTCCTTATGTAACAGTATTTTTATTTGCTGGTTGTTTCATGTAATGCAAAAATACCCAACATATACGCAAGGGTTGTCTCCAGAGGGTAGACAAAAAATCTTTGCATAATATGACATATTTTTTAGACCTCTTCTGGGTGTATGGTATGGCTATAAAAAACAAAAGCATTTTTAATATAACATTACGGTTTTATATGGTGAAACAGCAGACATACAGATAACAGGTACCTAATTATTACTACATACACGTAACATTCACTATTTACCAGTTATGATAAGTGTCATGTAATATTGTATTAGGTGAGCCTGTTGCCATATACCTGGCTCGATTCCAGGTTCTGTGACAGTATATGTACTATATTATATATATTTTATGGGATAAGCCGATTAACGATCAGACGGACCACCTGATGGTAAGCAATCGGCGACGCCCATTGACACACGAAACACCAGAGGCGTTACAAAACAAATGCTTTACCGGCCTTTTAGGAATTGGGAATCTGCGGATTGTGGGGGATTCGGGGATTGGGGAGACTGAGGAGAGGGCTGAGGGAGTAATTGTAAACACAACGCGTTGTTTCACGTCGGTTTTCTGTAAAGCCGCGAGATCGCTCCGGTCGAGTCGGCCCATTCGTGCTGAAGCATGGCTCTCCCACACTTGACATGCCCTAGTTTGCTTAACTATAGCTCCATAAAATGTTAACTCAAAAATGAGTAATTATTTGAGTAAAGAACTAAAGATGTTTTAAGACAAGGTTTAAATTAGCATAAACAAAGTGATTTTAGAAGATTTATTGAGCTTAACAATTAAAACAGAAGAAAGTGTCACACATTTAAAACTTGAGATTTTCTTTCTTTCATACAAATTAATAGGTTATTTCCAATTATTGTAATGTTTTCCTACATTCGATTTTGAAGTTATGTCAAAGTAGTCAGTTAGTCATCGTTGTTGACTTGAATTTCTTCAATTCCATCACTCTCAGTTACCAGAGCCCTCTCCAAGATCACTCTGCCCTCCTTATACCTAGGAAGAAAAATAGAATATTATAAAAAAGAAATTATGGTTTACTGAACTACAATTTTAGTTATTAGCCAACTTCACAAAAAGAAGGTCTAAGGAAAGGAGATACTCTATTGAAAGGTATCTAAATAGTTTTTGTAACTGTACTGCTCTAACAGTAGTGAGCAGGTGACAACTTCCAGGTTCAATTCCTGCGAGGAACAACTGTATGTAATCCAGATTTTTTCAGTATAACAATTGTATTACTGAATGAAAGAATAAATTAACCTTTTGAACGCCAGAGCAAAAACACATGAACCTGCCTTCGACACCAAGCCACAAATTCCACGCAAATTTCTACGAAAGAAATGGGAATTGTTGGAATCCCTATTGTATCAACAATGGGGATTCCAATAATTCGTGTTTCTGGTTCCGCTTTTTTTGTCATGTATTTGTGTCGTTGACGTCCAGGGACAGTTTTCGCTTGTCGCGTATATGTGACATTGGCGGTCAAAGGGTTAATCTTGTGAAACACCTATTATGATCTATTATTTCTAAGGCAAATTACAAACCTCTGGTTCTCTTCAGTGGCAAATTCATAGACCCATCCTAGCTTAGTGCCACAGTTTTTGCAAGAGACATCGCGCACCATATGTCGGCCCGTCAGCATCACACGATCTTGTACTTCAGAGTAAACTAGGTTTACCACTTTATGGAATAAGAATGCCCGACCTAAAACCAATATAAAATTGAAAGGTGTAAGTATCTGAACAAATGTTGTAATTAGCTTTGTTGACAATTGTTCGCTACATGTAACTGTAGATTTTAATCTCTCTTCAACTACATACATTCACGTAACTTTCTTCAATGTCCTACATACAAACATATAGTTACGCTAATCTATACATTATTCATAAGAGTTGCTTGTAAATCTTGGTAATATTAAACGCAGTGATGTTGCAAAATACTATTGCGTGAACAAATAAACCAAAATAATACTACCTGTGGCTCCAGTAAAACGTGTGCTGATCAGCTCCGAACGATTCGTCAGGTTCACATCGCAAGATGCACATGAGAATAAACGGGTACCACCAATGTGGTCAAGAAATATTTTACCCATTTTTAAGCTTTACAATTTCTTTATTTTATTTTCTTTGTTTGTTGTCAAAACAATCAATATATTCGCTCAGCTGACGGATGCGTCACGTAGTTGACATCTAGCTGTCACAATGGCAAATGAACTGTCGTTCTGAAACTCAGGATATTGAGCATATTGTTGCTTTTATAAAAATGCAACATAAATTATTGAAAGACTATGATGAATCATTTTGATTGAATTACTAAATTTTTTCAATTTTATATAACCTTTACCTTTTCAAATATACATATTTGAATCGAACGAATAATTCAAGTAACAAAGAAAAGTAGGGCAATAATCGAACGACATTCAAAAGTATTAAAATAAATATTTTTACAGGAAATTTATCATATTTTAACGTGGTAGAGTGGTAGATATAGGACAATATAAAAATTGAGACCATGATCAAAGATCCTTCGGCTCTTCACATTTCATCAATGCTTTATTTGTCAGTTTCCAAGGCAACTGTCTTTTCATTTTTACGTGAACTATGAATTTTATAAAAAAAAGTAAACACAGTTACGTCTGTTATTTTATTTTTACAAAATTAAATAGATTTAATTCATGAATAGATATTATGGAAGGTATAAAAGAAGAGGCCATACATCATACAGCATTAAAACTTGCGGAAGAAATAAAAAATCTCTCAATTTACAAATCATTTTATAGTGATGTACAGGTATGTATTGGTAACTTATTTTTTTATTTCCGCAACTATTATTTCTTTACATTATCATCTTGTAGACTATCTATAACAGACGATGAAACCTTCGTAAAATAAATTAATAAATTATGAACATCAGTAGATATAAAAATGGTAAACAGCATTACCATTGGGGTTAGGGCCGGAAGTCGCTATTAGATCGGAGCATCCATCACTATCATATCGATACAAAATAAAAATGATAGCCTTTTTACACGCACTTTAATAGTGAACTTTATTTCTATTTTTTTTTTCAGAAATTAGTATCATCGCCAAATGTTAAAAAGGAAGATTTCAAACAAACTTTACAACAAGCTATGAAAGAAAAGGGATTAGATACTAAACTTAGGAATACAGTTTTTCATTGGGTTAGGACACAAAGCAAACAAAATGTAAGCATAAGTCTGAGATTTTCCACACTAGAATTCCTAAAAATCGTCTAATAGGTACTGTCTCTAAATCGATTGGTGAATAATTCTCCAAATTGTTATTTTTTTTTCAGAAATTAGATCCACTGACATCCCTTTTAAAAGCTAGTGCACAATGGGAAAAGAGAATACATAAATCGTTAAATTCCATGTGTACAGATCTTGAGACCTCGTTAGCAAAAATCAGATCTCAAAGTGAACAAGAAGAGCTATCTGACAAATGGAACGAACTTAGTACTTACACTTTAGGTAACTACAAAACTGATTTGTCGTTTGTTTCACGAATACGACCACCTCAAGTCACTAAAAGTCGACGATTTATTTCAGACCTTTCGAAATACAGACCTGTTTATGCACCAAAAGACTTTTTGGAAGTACTTATAACTTTATCCGGCTATGTTCCTTTCACTAGAGAGTAAGTGTTTACGTCTTAACAATGTATCGTTCTATGTACTTAATTAATCCAAGATTGGATGAATTAGTAACCACGATTTACTTTCAGAGACGAACCAAAGTGGGAGTTTGCACATTTACCGATTCAAGTGAAAACCTTAGATCAGCTTGTAAGTAATTACGTATAATTAAATACAGAATTTTGATCTATCAACTAATATTATGGCGTTCCACAGAGCTCCGTCTTAGGACCTATTTGATTATGGACGTACAATTTTTGACAACTCTGTCTAATTTTTTTAGCGAAAAGTTTTCCCAGAATGGGCACACGGTGAACCTCTTTTGGGTGTTAATCCAAATATGCCGAGTTCAGTACCAGGATTCGCGACGCTCGAAGCAGAGCGCATAAGTTTGGGAGAACGGGTAGCAGCTCTGGGTTATGCGCCGGTTGTACAGGAATACTTAAAGAAGGGAAGTCCTCAATGTCTTCGGGCGAAGCTGTGGTCGCAAGTCTTAGGTTCCGACGTAAAAAGCCAAGTAAGTGATACAAAACTCACTTAAAAATGACATAGACTTCTTATAAGTTCGTATTTTAAAGCATTTTATTTTACTGCAGCAAACGGCATACTTCGGTCAGCTGAAGAAGAATGTTCTGGAAGTGGATTTGATGATAGACAAATTAATATTCAAAGATGTACAATTAACGGCTTCGAACGATGATCAGTATTTTGTATTTGAAGATTTATTGTACCAGGTAGGTATAGAAGCATGAATGTGATTAAGGTGGAGGAGGTTTTATTGCAGAAATTCGTAAAAATGCAATTGATATTGTTCTCAATTACAGGTGATGTTATGTTTTTCCCGCGACGTCGATGTAATGCAACAATTGAAAGGTAGTATTGGCAATCCGCCGACGGTGACAATAAAAGGAAAACAGACTTCAGCGGAAAGTATGACCGTGTTTCCTCCGAGCGGAATCATACCTTTCCATGGTTTCACTATGTATGGTAAGAATGTTTATAAAACTTTATTGATATACCAAATATGATGCCCGTGTAAGTAGGTACTTATAAGTCAGTTTATCACTAAAAGTATCTGTTTTGCAGCTTTCTCAATAGTCAATTAGCTTGACTAAAATCAATATGACGTATTAACTAAAAAAAAAATATTATATTATTTACTAGCTTTTACCCGCGGCTTCGCTTGCGTCGCAAAAGGATAAAAAGTAGCCTATGTGACATACACCAATATATACAGCGCCATCTATACCAATACTTTTATTTTCCCTCGGGAATATCTAATTTTTCCGGGATAAAAAGTACCCTATTATTTAATCCAGACTTCTAACTTTACGTCAATCAGAATAACATTTATTTGCCTACTTTGTGTCTTACAAAATGTCTCTGTGGCCGGTGGGCCATACAGGGGTGAGTCAGCTAACTTATGTCCTAATTGATCTTTGTTCGTTTGCTTTGTTCTATTAATTCGTAATATGCGACGCTAAGTAGACATATTACGTGTTTTATTTACGCTGTGTAGTATATTAAATATGTATATTATAGGCACATAATATTTCTTGCAATAATTATTTTATTTTAAGGGGACGCGGGGCTTTTGTTTTGTCTGTAGGCCAACGCTTGTAACCTTTTTTATAATAGTCGAACAGTATTTCTCCGATTCTGTGATTAACCCTGAGAGGGTTAAAATCCCCATGAGCATGATAGGCATCTTCAGTGGATTCAAGATCTTCTATTTCTAATTTTGAAATATTTTCCAACATTTTGGAGTTAAGGTGCTAAAATTCAAAGCAATCGGTTTAGTAGTTACGGCGTGAAAGCGGAACAAACAAACAAACTCACTTTCCAATTTATAATATTAGTAAGGAAGTAAGGATTATTTCTAATTAGCAATACATAATTAAGGAAAATGCGCGTCCATGTTGCTCAATAGGTCGTCACAAACAATGACTCAAATAAAAGTCTAAGTAATAAGTTTATTTACAATTGTTATTTTATTCATTCTTGGAATTATTGGATAAACACAGTTTAATTGTTGTAAATAAATGACTGCACGGTTGGTGCGGTGGCTGGGCAACCGGCTGCCGTGCAACGTGTCGCGGGTTCGATTCCCGCACGGAACAACACATTGTGTGATCCACAAATTGTTGTTTCGGGTCTGGGTGTCATGTGTATGTGAACTTGTATGTTTGTAAACGCACCCACGACACAGGAGATAATCCTAGCGTGGGGCAACGTTTTTAAAAAAAAAAAAAAAATTAACCAATTCAGTACCTAATTAAACGAAATCATTTATTTCTTAGAAAAGTAAGTAGTTTTACGATACCTATAGTAAATATGAATAATGGTTTTAGCTCATAAATTACAACTTCTATATTAATTAATAAATTACGGAATAAGAAATTACATAACATAACATCACGCCTTTTATCCCCGAAGGGGTAAGCAGAGGTGTACATTATGCCACTTTTCACTATTTATGTTATGAGTCCCATGTAATAGGGGGTGAGCCTATTGCCATATACCGGGCACAATTCCAGACTCCGTGCTACTACTGGGAATTTTTTGAAAAACCCAGTAATACTTTGCCCGACCCCGGAATCGAACCCGAGACCCCTTGCCCGGCAGGCGCACTTGCGACCACTCGGCCAATGAGGCAGACAGGCAAGAAATTACAAAAAATAAAAATTAGGAATCACATTTACTTACACGAAGAATCATACAAGAGACAGTCAGAGATATCTTGACTAAAATCAATACTGTTGTTTCAGCAACTCCTTTCTGCTATTTGTACGACGACCCTGTCCAGTTGTACTACACGTTTCGAGCATTCTATGTGCGATACTGGCATCGATTGCACTACATATCGACGCATTCACAGGTAACAAGAAAAATATACAATCGTCGTTTCTCCATCCATAGGAAGATATAAGATATCTCTTCAATAATATAATTTATTGGACTGCAAGTAGCGCGGTGTTCAGATCCATGTCAAATGGGTCCACAACACAATTGTGGAGCTACTTTAAAAAATTCACAAAGCTTTTTAAACAATCTGTGATTGTAATAAATTATTTTTAACTAGGTGTTGCTTGCGACTTCATTCGCGTAGAATATGAATTTTAGAACATAACTTTTTTAATTCCGTACTGTATCAGTTACCTATCAATAAAAGTCTGGCAAAATCGGTCCAGCCATTCCAGAGATAAGCCAGTACAAACTGACAGACAGACAGACAGACAGATTAAAATTGTAAAAAATGTTACTTGTATGTTACTTGTACTGTTAATGTTACTTGTAATGTTAAAAATGCAGTTATTTTATATTACAGACACTCCAGTTTTATTTATCTGTACCTATAAATTTGAATTCTGATTGAATGAATTCACTCATATTTTTTTTTTAAACAATCGTGGTTTAATGTTTGTTTTTAATGACGTGAAATTGTAATTTATTAAACCTCTCTGTTAATTATTATTTTCCACGTTATATGCGATACTCGTTGACCCACAATTTTCCTGTTACTTTCAGTTATAATGCAATTTAATTATGTTTTCAAATAATAATAAATAAATTATATCAGTGGCAGTACCTATAGCATGTATGCGGTAACTCGTAACTTCAGTTGGAATTATAGATTTTTACAATTTTATTATTTAAATATTTACATATATTTATTTAAAATTCTCTATAAATTACATTTTTAAACACTACTTATAAAATAAAAATAATATTTAAAAATATAAAAAATAGGAGCCGACCAGTAGCGGGAGCATGGTCCAAGCTACCGGTGGTTAGGGCTCCAGAGACAGAAACCTCCTCACGATACGTGCCGTTTCTAGGAGAACTGCCTTCTGTATCAGGCCCTTGATCCATCCACCTAACGCCAGCCTCCTAAGATGGATGTCGAGGCTTTTAGGGATTAACCCATTGGCCGACACGACTATCGGCACAATGATAGCCGAATCCACACTCCACATGTCGACAACCTCGTGAGCTAAGTCTAGATATTTTATTTGTTTATCTTTCTCAGCTTTCACGAGGTTCTCGTCATGGGGAATGGTGACATCGATTATCATCGTGCGGCGTACTTGTCGGTCTATCACCACTATGTCAGGTTTATTGGCTACAATAGTCCTGTCAGTAATGATAGACCGGTCCCAGTACAATGTGATATGGTCATTTTCCAGAACTGGGTCGGGCACATACTTGTAGTACGGTACCTCAGATTCAACAAGTCGATAGTGTAAAGCAAGTTGCTGATGGATAATCTTGGCTACTTGATTATGCCTATGCAAATATTCAAATATTTAAATATTATTATTATCAGATACAAGACGTCCTCTTGGCAGAGATCTGGCCAAATCACTTAATTTCCCTTTCTAAAAAGACGGTAATTCGTATAACGAACGGGAACTTAAAGCTGAAAAGTTGGCAACGTACTTGTAACTCTTCAGGTGTCTATGGGCGGCGCTGATAAATCATAAGTACTAAAATAAATCATGTTATTTTTTAATTTCCAGGGTATTGTATCATTGTGTCTACTTTACGAGAGGCTCCTAGAGGCGAACGAACCTTTGCTATGGATACATTTTAGAAATATCAACATCAATCCGTAAGTTTATTTTATATAGTTTTAAGTTCAGTTAAAGATGAGGAAAAATAGTCTTTATTTTATACAAATAAGGTCGAGAGGATCCAAAGCGCGACTAAGCAAAAAATCTCTGGAGAACGGTGATTGGCCCGGACTTTAGAAGATTCAAAGACATGATGTTAATATTATTATTTGATATAAGTATGCTTAACTCTCCATTACAGAATAAGAGTGGTGTTCAAATGGTTAATGCGCGCATTCAGTGGACATCTACCACCGGATCAACTACTACTGCTCTGGGATGCCATACTAGGATACGATTGTTTAGAAATCCTACCATTATTAGCGTTGGCAATACTTAGTTTTAGAAAGGAGAATATATTTCAAGTGAATACTTTGCAGAATGTTGATGCTGTGTTAGCTGATTTATCAACAATTTCTGTCATACCGTTGTTGCAATTAGCATTAATGAAACCCTGATGTAAAGTCTTGCGCATATGTTATGGTACCTGTTATTGTCAAACTTGGATACTTGCTATTTGAGACCACAAGCAGTATGGTACTTAAGTACCCTGTTATAAGATCTTTATTAGAATAATGTTTTTTATGTTTAATATGTGCAAATGTTGGTGTCATTTGGCTGCAAATGTCAAGTAGTTAAAGAAAGAGTAATCTTTTTAATTCCCACTGTGTGAAAGAGATAACAGTAATATTAGGTTGGATTAGGCATAACAATCCATGGCATTTGAGGCAAATTTTTAAGTGTGAAATATATAAAAAAATATTCTGTGTTAAAATTAGTTTGATATTTTGATTTGTGATCCTAACTTCGTGATACATATGCGCAGGTCTCCGTTATTGTTAAACTAATTGTTTTATAGTCTTTTATATTAGTCGTTTTTTTTTTCTAATTTTGTAGACTGAGACATTTTTAAATTAAAAAAAGAAAGTACAAAGTGTTACCTCAGTAAATTTATATTTTCTTACACACAACACACCAGTTGCCCTCTTCGTAGAAAGTATCTTCGATTAAGAAATTGGCTTCTTTACATAGTTCATCTAATTCACCTTCTTCGAAAACGTGATAGTATCTCAGTAAAGTGTTTTCTGGATTGTTTGAAAGTTTATTTTCTGATACTTTTCTTAGTTTCCAAGGTACTAATAGGTCTTGATGTTTGAACTGTGTTCGGTTTTCGTGTACGGGGAGGTTGACGCCGCCGACCGTGATCTGAGTCTCTGCTTGGGTCTCATTAACCTGGTCTTGTTTACTTTTGAGAAGGTAATTTGATTTAGTTTGATCCTTGGCCCATACTGTGATGAGAGCGCGCCCACCTTTGCGTAGTAAACGATGTATAGTGGATATCGCTTGTAGCCTTCTTGCCTGTAGACAAGATTTTATGAATGAGTTGTTTTGTTCTATGCAGTTTGCTTACAGTATAATATTTAACGGAGATTCAGGTTTGACTCCCGAGCAGAGTAAACTAATACGAGTTCTCCATTTTCAAATTCTCAATAGCACTATAGAGCCTAGTCCATAAAATACATCCACTGCTGATCATACTGACAAAAACTTAACACGGACATGAATTGTACTGAATTAAAGTCATTGTCAAAGCGGCCTTAAATTAAAATTAAATCAACTCACCTTGCTACTAAAATGGTGTATAACAGCAATACATATGACAATATCTGCGGTGTTGTCTCTCAACTGCGCCTGCAGTAGATCCAGACGTACGCAGTCCGCTGCATTTATACCTTGGATGTGCTCCTTGCACTCTGATAATAAACCAGAACTACGTTCACCTGCTATCTGCAACAGATTTATATTACCTGTTTACAACAAACTGAGGAATATCGATGCCTTTGAGATTTACCTAGATTTTTTATAAAATAGGGTGGCAAACTAGAAAACGGTCACCTGATGGAAATAATTGGCGCCGCAAGTACATTAAGTCCAGAGGAGTCACAAGTGTGTTACTGGCTTTTGGGAGGTGGGAAGGCGGTGTATAGGGCTTAATGAAGGTAACCTTACATAATTGACTTGTTTATTTAAGGGCAACCCACAAAACATGATAGGTTTTTAAAATATTTTAACATTGTATAGTGTAGCCCTAATTAAAGGCTGCCACGACATGCATTAAACAAAAAACAGGACATTACAACAAAACGTTTACTTGTTTTTATAATAACTATCGTGAGACATACTAAATTAAGTAAAATCGCGGGTTACTCACGTGAATATACTGAGAAAAGCTCTACTAGTTTCGAACCACAGAGGGGTTCTTCCTCATGATGGTTCGAAACTAGTAGAGCGTTTACTTCTCGCAAAAACAAGAAATCTTAATAATTATTGTTAAATTTTAATACAAGTGAAAGATATTATATGGAGTTTAACTCTGTGAGAATGTCCTACGCACGATAGTTTTCACTTTATGATGAAAAACACGAAAGCGTTGTTTTACTCTGGGTTTACATGAGATCGTGGTATCGCACCGGTCGAGCCGCTTAATCGTGCCGAAGCATGGCTATCCGACTCTATGTTCATGTATGTAATCAAATTACTCCTCTACTCCCAATAAAGAAGACAATCTCACCAACTAACCTGCACTATATCATCCCTTCTCAGTATATTCTTCCCGTTCCCACATCCCAAGTCCATAACAACACTGCCAGGTGGCACTCCCTGCATGAACTCCACCACCTTAGGCCAAGGTTTGTGTCTCGTTGTACTAAAGTGGCCTGCTATTTGTTCGTATACCTGGAAAATGGAATTGTGAATGATAGAAGTTTGTTCTTTTTTGTTGCATGAAATATTAGGTACTATGAGACATACAAAATTGATTAAAATACACAACTAACTGTTCGAAGATTGTTGGCTGCGCGACTTAACGATTATAAACTCCGGTCGTAGCTTGAGACTAATCGAGCGTCCTCGAACAGTTTACATAAC